TTAGCGACAATTTATAAAAATCGTGACAAAAGAAGTCACTAATTGTCAATTTTTAACGACGTATGTAAAAAATTATCACAAAAAATTATTTTTAGCGACAATTTTACCAAGACTTATTTTCAATAAGATTTGATGGGAATTAAGTCCAACTATTAAGACCTATTGGTAGTTTACCCATTTTAATCCCATCCCTACGTCCGCGGATACCCAACCACATTTCAAATAGCTAAAAACATTGGGTATTATTTTAAATACTTAGCACACTAAATAATTTTTTTTGTTTCCATATATATAAATAGTAAGACTTTCAAGATTATTATTTATTTATATTTAAATAGAACCACAGACTTTTTGTATTCTTTTTATTTATATTATATTATATATTTATATATATTATTTATTTATATATTATTAATTTTATTGAGTCAAAATTACATCAAGAGAGGTGATACCCACCTCCGTCCCAACGCTATAACGGGTTATCAAAATATAATTACTCCCATCCCACGTAATTGTCGGGATGAATAAAATTCACCTCACTTAAATGGGTATAGGCAGGCCCCATCCCTAGTGACAAGTAATTTTTGTATCATTTATCTTGCAAGTTCCACAAAACCCAATCACATATTTTTTATAGAGTAGCTTTTGAGATAAAAAGTACAAAAATTATTTGATTTGATTTTTTTTCAAAAGATGTTTTGAAAAATTATTTTGAGAGAAAATTTTGAAAAAAGTTATTGATTTGACGTGTATGAGAGAGAGATTTGTTTAAAAAATTTGTAAACCAAACAAGTTTTGGAAAATTTTGTTTGGTTTGGTTTGATTATTTTTGAAAACTTATTTGTAGAGAATTTTTCTCAAAATTTTTTGAGAAACACAAACCAAACAAATGTTTTTGAAATAGTAAATTATTTACAGAAATGAAGAACAGATCACAGAACAGTATCAAAAAAGCAACTCTTTGTTTTATAAACGACGGAGAACCATCATAGACACAACCCCACGTTTAAGACTGTCTAGACTCAAACTATGGAAGGGCCGTAAAAAAAGCATGTATTATTCGTTTCAAACGAAAACCCACAAATCACCATTTAACACACTCAAACTCAGTAACAGAAATAAATTAAAAGCAAGCATAATGTACAGAAATTCGCCGCTGGATGGGGCTCCTACAGGATGGGCAGTCCTTCATTCCCTGCTTCTCATGGAGCTCGTTGCAATTTGTGCAGACTACTTGATGAGCACACGGAAGAAAAACCACAGACATCTCCTCTGAAAGACACATCACGCATTCTCGTTCACGTTTCACGCCTCCAATCCCAGAATATTCCTTGAATTCTGTTGCTATTACTGAGATATAAGGCGTTTGGGACTCTTTAGCTGGGGCATTTCTAATGTCTGTCAGTCTGCTAGCATAGCTTCCATCAATGCCTCTTCTCAGAGCTGCTATTTTCGAGGAGTCGGCCTTCGATCTCAATTGGGAGATTTCTTTCTCAAGCTTCTCGATATCTTCTTTGCACTTTTGCAGATTGGCTTCTGCTTTCAATTTGATCATATCCTCTTTTGATTTAGCTGACGCTTCGATTTGTTCTCTTTCTTTTCTTATTTTACTGGCCAGGGTAAGTAGTTCTTCCTCGGCCTCTTCTTCATCCTTCCATCTAGCCTGCAATATTTGACCTTTTCAATGAGAAAGCATCCAGTAAAAATCCCCAAAACTACATGGCTTGGAACGGAACAGCGGGAATCAGTACATTTTGCAAAGCTCTCACAGTATTCACGCCAAAACAACTACTCACCCTTTCTTTTAGTCAGTTAGGTCTTAATTACATTCTTCTCTTCACAAAATTTTGAGAGGGTACCTCAGCACATTTGAAATCATACAAAAGAACACTAGTTCACAAGTAAAGACCAAAAGCATACAAAGTATATTTGTGGCAATAGACCAAATTAAAACACAGGGCAAGACGATAAGCAAATGAATAATGCTAGGAATCCCAAACATTTTACCCAATGTTCTACCAAATGTCTCACATAGTTGTGGGACTCACACCATGTGGGTTTCATGTGGATCCCACATCTATGTGAGACATTTAGTAGAACATTTGGTAAAATATTTGGGATCCTAGCATTTTTCTAAGCAAATACAGTTTTTTGATGACGTGTTTACATAGCATAAGGAACCAAAAGTTACCAAAACAAACAACAATATTAGGATTTTAATCAATAAAACACACCCCTCCCCTCCATTTCTCTCTTTCTTCCTTCTAATTAGGTGTCACCATGGCCCTTATAATAAATAAGAAATTTAAGGCATCTATTTGTAAGAGTTTCTCAATTCTCAAAAATAACTTGTAAGTACTCTATGAATATCACATACATGCATTTTTATTGCTTGCATGTGTAAATCTCAACTCAACTCGAAAAAGCCTTGTACACCACTACTTTGGGTTGAATATATATATACCATTTTCACCCTTTCCAGCTCTTTTTCCGCACCTGCATCATGTGTCTGCTTGCTAAAGTAATATCCTTACAACCCCTCTCCCAAAATGAAAGCAGCATGCTAATTTTATGCATACTTACGCTATACAGTGATAAAAGATTACGGGTTCTGTTGAAAAATATCCAAAGCCAACAATCAATGGAATTGGACTGTTTTTCATAAATTTCTTCTGAGTGGTGTTTGCTTCAATCTCTTCTGAATATCTGAAGGAAAGTCCTTTCACGTCAATTTAATTCTCAGTCTCACTGGACGTAAGATTTGATGACGGGGCCTATCCCCACTATAAAAAAAGTATGACATGTTTAGCATTAATAATCTGCCAGAAACAAAACTGCAGATTACATTTAGCACGTATCTTAAGTCATTTTGGGGTAGAAAATTAAATAAAACATAGAATCCAAACTCTGCATGAACATACCTCAAGTTGGTCCCATATATCTTTTGCTTGTTCCAGTTCCTGCTGCAGCTGTGCCAACTTATGTTTCTGGGCCGCGAGTTCTTCCTGAAAGAAGGTCTTTTGCTTCTCCCATGATTGAAATTTCATTAGCGTCTTTTTCTCTCTCTTCAACACCTCCTGACAGTTTGCAGCCGACTCAGCAGCTCGTAATTTAGCAACCTCCATGTCTTTCCTCAATGCAGCGTTCTCAACCTCAAGTCTCCGAACAGTATTATTAGCTCGCTCTACCTGCCCACTGGCTTTACGCAAAGCATTCTCCATCTCAGTAAGCTTCTTCATAGTGTTTTCCTCCAAAGTTTGCTTCTCTTTCTTGAGCCTCTCAGCCTCTTCTTTCTCTTGCCTCAGTGTCTTAAGCTCAGCTTTGTCTTCGCTCAGCCTTCGAGCAGCCTGCATAACCTTCTGATTAGCCCACTCCGTCCACTCTTGGAGCTGATTTTGCAGTCCCTGAACCCTCGGAAGCAACTTCAAAATCATTTCATCTTTCTTGTCCTGTGGGACCCACTGCCCAATGGACTTATCATATGGTATGCCGGCATAACTACAATTAGGAGCCACTGCATTGACGGTTACAGGCATTGGAGCAGCATCATTTTTTGTAGGAAGTGAAGGTGAAAGCTCAATATCAGCAGCTGATAAAGCCGGTGGGGTACTAACTGTATGTAATGTAGATGGTACACTGATTTCAGGTATGGTAGAAATGGTATCCCCGACATTTGTTGATAATTTACGGTTTTCATTGTCTTGAGGCACATCAACTCCCATCGTCTTACTTATCTTCAGGGAAGCATTTTTCAGATTAGCACATGCAGAATCCGACACAGCCTTTAGTTTCCTATCCAAAACTAAACTACCAAAACCATTGAGTTTGCCAGCTCTAGAAGACCCTTTGGAACCATATGTACGGTAGCATTTTTCCAGATGAAGTGACTTCTGTCGGAGTAAATATTCCCTCTTAGTAATACCAGAAATCTTTCTACTTCCCCCAATTTTTTCTTCAGGGGCATGAGATTGTGTTGTTCCTATGGCACCAAAGGATTTATCCACACTATCAAAGGAGTTTTTCGGTTTTACAAAGTTTGGAACCCCAGATATGGCGGATGTCTGAGATTGAGAACCATAAGCAGAAGGAATTGAAGCCATGTTGGCTATCTCACATTGACAAGTATGAGCACAAGCAATTGAAGAATTTTGTTTGCAGGGATTACTAGAAAGATCGAGTTCAGAACTCCCGGTCTCAGTTCTTGACTGAGCTTGGGTGGAAGCACAATCACTCCCATTGGGACCCACATCGCCAGCTGAACTACTCAAGATATCACCGTCCACTGCACAAGCATGAGACACATTCATGTCACATATCAACAAGCACCACATTGCATCCCCGGTGCTGAAGAAAGGCCTAACCTCACGAAGAACACAAACCAACTCCGCCAATATATACTTCTCCATCTGCTGTAAATCCTCAAAATAGTGCTCCCTTGACAGATCAATCTCTTGGCCATTTCTAAGAAATGCCAGAGTATTGTCCACTATATTTGACACAGTGTCTTTACACCCATAACAAAGGCCAGACCTCAAAACAGCCTTCGTAGCAACTTCTTCACTGTAACCGCAACCAACAATTTTTTTAATAGCATTCTTGAAAATCATGTCCACGTTGATCAAAACAAGTTCTTCGAGCTGGGATTCTGTAAAATCACTCCAATCAGCATCATGAAACTCATGCACTGCTTCTATTTCCTCTCTAGGCTGGCTTGGCCCCACCTCAGATGATCCTACGGAAGTAGGCAATCCAAGGTCAAGTTTCAAAGCATCCAAATGGTCTTGGCTAAGACAACACACATCACACTCACTGGAATGTCCATGAACTGGGGTGATTTCATATTTCTCAGCTGAGAATTCATAACTAGAACACTCATTCTGAGGCAAAGAGACAACCTTATTCAGATCACCAATAGGAGGATCAGCTCGATACTTTCTCTTATTCCTACTTCCTTTTTCTTGGACTGGCATAGCAGACAAAACTTGACTGGTACTACTACTACTAGTAGTCTTAGCAACCATTGAAGGCATTCTAAGCTGCACAACAAAACATTTTTTCAACACCTTCACCAAACTACATTGACTACATATCAAATTGACCATACACAACAACAATGCCACACAAATACTAGTATGCAACAATGCAACACAAAAACCAAATTTGTCCATATAATTAGAACCACCAAAATCAAGCAAATATAAGATGAAAATTAAGTTGTCATTGTTGTGAGAAAGGGAAATGATATTCACACTGCCCTGGTGAGAGGTAAGATGACAAAAAAGATTGTATGAATCATAATCCAACTCAACAAACCAGATAATTATAGTGAAAGTGGAAATCAAGCAATGAACCGACTATTGATCATCCCATAAAACACTGACTTATAACTCATACCTGTGGTTGTTGAAGCATTAGAATCAATAAAAATTGATCTAGTTTTCTGCATCAAAACAAAGGAATTCAATCATCCCAGAACAAAAGTGGGAAAACAAAACAAACCCAGAAACGAAAATTCAATAATCAATGCATTCACACGAAACCCATTAAAATTTTCAATAAACCTATGTCGATATGAGCAATTAAAATCAACCCATAGATCGATAAAACACAAAAACACGAATTAAATAATTTATATATATATGCATTCAGTGTGTATATGCATGTAAGAGATCTCAAAGTAAGGAAAATCTGAGATTTATTATGGGAATTGCTCGATCGAGACATACCCGATTGGAATATCAGAATATCGGTCCCAAAAATAGTCCCAAAATCAGAATATCAGTCCCAATATCAGTGCTGTGTTGTGTTCTTCCATGCCGAACAAGAGAATCAAATTGAAGACAAACAAGAAAAATTGGAAGAGGAGACTGTAAGAGAGGGAGAGGGAGAGGGAGAGGGAGAGGGAGAGGGAGAGGGAGAGAGCGATGAAGAAGAAGAGGAGACATACCTGTGTTTGTCTTCTGTTGTGCCGCTTGAGGTTGTGAAGTGAGAGAATGAGATGAAGTCAATCCTTGTTTATTCACCTAAAAGGGCCTGTCAACTCTTGAACATAAAAAATAAAAATTAAAAAACAGTTTCAAAACTACGTCGTTTTGACCCTCAATTTATTGGCGACGAAAATTATTAGGTTGCTATAAATATCGTTTACCTTTCCGCGACTATTTTAATTCTGTCGCCAAAAATTTACAATTGGCGACCAAAAATTTCGTCGCTATATGTTAATTTGGTCACGAAAACATTTTTAGTGCTCCCGCGCAAAAATTTAAGTTGGCGCCAAACATTTTTAGCGACCAATTGAGATATTGGTCACCAATAGTTTATTTTTTTGCGACCAACAAGTATATTGTCGCCAAAAATATATAATTGGCGACAAATTTCAATTTGGTTGCTAAAAAACGTCGCCAAAAATGCTTTTTGTTGTAGTGTGAAAAATTGTAAATATCTCCCTGTCAGAATTTTTTATTTAACAAAATTAATTGAAAAAGTGAAATTTCTAACTGTTCACCTATACAATAATAAAATTATTTGAATTATTAATTGAAATAAAATTTTAACATTATTAAAAAACTGTTAATTAACTTGATTTATTGACAAAAGGATCTATTTGTTATGAAATAAGAAACTTTAGGGGGCATGATGTAATTTCTAAAATCACAAAGGATAATTTATAATTTAAGTAAATCTCAGAGAGTGTATTTGTAATTTATCCTACATTTTTATGAGTAATTGTAAAGCATAATACTAGAAACGTACAGTTTAAACTTTTAAATTTATTCACAATAACTTGGTATAAGGTAGTTGGGTCTCATCCATGATTCAGTTTGTGATAAACAAAAAATTGACACATAACTTGTCATGCCAATGTATATATATTAGGGGAGATTTTTGAAGGGTTTCAATCAATTTTTCATTTGTAAAATACATTATAATATGATTTCTTAATTTTACAAAAATTATTTTATTAACTGTCTATTTCATTAATATTAAATGATGATGTCGAACTATTTCATGCTAGTTAATAGAATTCGATTTTATTAAATAAAAAAAAAACCAGTAATTTTTTGCTTAAAAAAAGTTCAAAAAATTAAAAACATATATATACTTTTTATTTAATGTTGAGTTTTTCTTAAGTTCAAGTCTGCACATAACTATCATGTTTAGGCTTGTGGGACTTACCACAGGTTCTATTTTAATTATTCAAACCATTTATTTTGTAACTCCTTCCATATATATTATTTGTGAAAAAATTAAGTAAATTTAATAATTATAATATTTTTATTTTATCACATTTATTTTAAAAAGTGGATGATAAATATATTTTTAATGAATTATGCCAATTAATAAGATGACCTTGACATACCATTCACCAAACTTGTGGTTATGTATGAGTCATTCAATATTGGTGATTTTACGCACAAAAATCTCATGATTATTGAAATCCTTTGAAGTTTTTAAATGACACCCATGCCTCTTAAATTAGTATAAGCTGCTTTCAATTGAGGCCATTATTGTCAGCCTATTTAAAATAAAGTTTTAAATAAATCCAAGGGATTATTCACAACTCTTACACTTGATGAAAAATTAATATATATTTTTTAATTTTAATTTTTTTATATTAATTATGTAATGTTTATGATTTTTATGAACATTATAACTAATTGAATTTTATTGTAATATCTCATATATATCAATTTAAAATATCATTGATTAACTTATGTTTTATTTTAGGTCTTGTTTGTCATAACTTAGAAAAGTCAAAAAGTCATTATCCTATTTAAGTCACATCATCTTATTTAAGTCACATCACTTCTCTATCACATCACTTCAAACCCAACTATATCTAACTCATATTTCATAAAAAATCAAAAAATATATTTATTTAGATAATTCTAAACAACCTCTTAATCTCCCACGAGCATGCTTTAATTGATTCATTGGTGAGTCATCCACCTATATTTACCATTAAAAATGCCTTTAGAATTGGGAATAAAATAATGGTCAACATGCATCAACAACCATCATTTTATAATTACTATTCAACTTTTGTTAATTACCATGTTTCCCTCTTTAATCCCCAATTTAGAGTTATTATGACTTCGACCTTTAGGTTAAGTTTGGCATCTTTAAAAAAAAATTAAAAAGTTAAAAAGTCATTATCTTATTTAAATCACATCATCTTATTTAAGTCATATCACCTCTCTACCACATCACTTCAAACCCAATCCATATTTTATAAAAAGTCAAAAAGTACACTTATTTAGAACATCTCAAACAACCCCTTAGGCCTTGTTTGTTTGGGGTTATAAGGAAGGGATTGAGATTACTAATCCCTTGGTATTACTAATGGGGTGTTTGTTCTGAAAGATGGGGAGAGAACTATTAGTCCCTTGGTATTAGTAGTCCCCTGGGGAGGGCGATTGGTAAAGAGAATGTATAGATGGTATTAGAAAAATAGTGAGGGGATTATAATTTTTTTAATTTTTTATATATTGGAATTTTTTTTAAAATATAATGTTTAATTTTTTATATTTTTTTTATTTATTTTATTATTTTATATAAAAATAATTTAACAATTCTTCACTATCAATCCCCTTCACTATCAATCCCTTCACTATTAATTCCCTCAATATGAATTTCTTTCATTCTATCTCTGAAAATAAACGGCCTTAATTTCTAATCCAAATCACCAATTTATTTGTGTAATTTTTTTGTCCAAAATGAGTTGTTGCCTGTTTTGTTTCTATATATATATATATATATATTTGTAGGGCAATCCAATGTGCCCTTAATAGGCTTTTGCATTATGGAGATTATTTTTTGGCAAAAATCTATGTTCATTTATTGCGAATCTCCTTTTAATTGTCTGACGCGGTTGAACTTTGAAACACGAGATTTCAAAATCAATAAGGTAAGAAATCACTAATGTTAGGGATACTAATTTTTTTACTAAATAAATGATCAAATATCTCATATGGGTGTAGGGTTCACAATTTTGTGGGTCCTATACTCATATGAGACATTTTGTCATTTATTTGATAGAAAATTTAGAACCTCTAGCATTTTCCACCACTAATTAGTGCAATTATTAATGATATAGTGATAGGTCTCATTTATTGTCACAGTGTATGCTGTTTTTTTTTTTTACCTCATTATTAGTAGATTTAGAGTTCTAAATCATTTTTGTTTTAAAATATGACTGGGTTTGCTTTCAGCCTACCATTTAGGCTTTATTTGTTATAATCTAAAAAAAATAAAAATAAAAAAATCATTTCCTATTTAAGTTATATCATCTTATTTAAGTTACATCACCTCTCTATCACATCATTTCAAACTCAACCCATACTCATATCCAATTCATATTTCATAAAAAATCAAAAAGTACACTTATTTAGATCATTCCAAACCACCCCTTAAATTGGAGGGTCTGGTCTGATCCATTGGATTTATTTTTAATTTTTTTTAATAATTTAAATTGTTTAAATTTTTAGATTTGTTAAGTATATTATCTTTGTAAAAAATCATGTCGATCAGATAACGAATATTATATATTCATATCACTTTTTTTTATGAATCATTAATGAGAAGGAGATTTATGATTCGAGATTGGGCTGTGACGTTAGCCGGACAGATTTGGGCCGAGGTATTGGGCTCCAAGATCAGGCCGTGATATTGCTCAGTAATGGCAAAGCCCACATGAAACCGAGCTATATGATCCCGGTTCCGCGAAGGGCGGACAGGTGGAGGAACAGCCCAGATGAGGCTTCCCGGCTCACGCGTTGCAAGGTTGTAATGCACGCACCTTAACCCGGTAGGAAGGCCGACGCTTGGAGCTTGGCCGAGAAGGTTGTTGGCTGACCATCACAACCAATCTCCAGCTCAGTTTCGTCGGGATACAGTTGAGCACGGCCAGAATTAGGCCCTGTAGTAGGAAACTATCAACTGTATTTCGGCATGTTCAGTATGGCCGTTGATAGCCGAGATAATGTTGCCCGGCTGCCGTGCTCCCAGCAGAGTGGGCTGGCAGTTGGGTTAGGTGATGTATAGCAAGATTTGTGCTGACAGATGGGATAACAGAGCCACGTGTCGAGAGACCAATGGGAGTAGATTTGGGGCGCAGAAGGGTATATGAGCATGTCTGCGCCCCCCATACGGAGGATAGGAACATTTTGTAAGGAAATTCTTACACTCTAACACTACTCTCTCTCTCTCCCTCTATCCTAAGGTGTGTGCTAACTTGATCGTCGGAGGGTTTTTCCGGCCACACATCGCCGGGTAGCTCACCGTTATTTGCTCGCAGGTGATCGGACATAAACGGAGCTCGGAAGAAAGGAGTACGGGCTTGCCGGAATATTTGCTCCCCGTACAATTGGCGCCGTC